ATGGCTGCGAGTTTTTGTACGCTGGGACAAACAAGACCTTTAAATTTAAGCCTGTGGGTCTACATAATTACAACATAACCAACTGGAACTTCTTCTGGGTAAATACCCTGTGAACACTATGACCACAAACAGGTTTCAAGACGCATCCAGAGTTAGTGAAAGTAGGCAATTTAATTTAGGCTGTCACTGAAAGGATTTCTCCAAAAATGAGTCCTGTAGACGATACCTGAAAGAGCCACAGCAACTCCCTGCAAAAGCACTGCTCTGCTTGCGAATAATATAATCCTGCCTATAGGAAAAGATGCATTTTATTGTATCTCAAAACCTTAACTCAGTCAATGGACGATCTTGTAGTCGGCATGTTGCACACTCTGACCAACAGGCACCAACAGAGTAAAACATGACACCAAACTCCGACACGCTAGCGTAACTTACATACTAAGTTAGCATAACTGGGCTGACGGGTGACCGAGACAGCATCTTTAACAAAAATGTTCCGCTTGTTTGATATCACTACCGCATTCACGGCCAATGGCTAAGAAAACCTGAAATGAAGTCGTGCTGCACAAATTATGTAAGTTCCGTCTGTGAGTCTGAAACTACTGCCAGATGTTCAGCCTCAGCCTCCGTCCACACAGATGTGAATTAACGTTACGCAGCATACCTGGGAGTTTCCCACGAGCTTACTAAGTAAGAGTCACTCTCACCTCACCTGTCCTTCAGGGGAAATGTTTCCGGGCACGAAGGAGGCTCACCTTAAAAGCCCCAAATCAGAGACTCCCGCAGGTAAATGGACTTTGTAAAGTATGCTTCTCCCGTAGAAAAACAAATTATGCGTTAACTTTTACCTTTTCCCGCTGCTAAGAACTTCCGATGAGTGTTTCTCATTCACCTCAAAGGTGCTAAACACCGGGGTTAGAAAAACGACAGCAGCAGCTCAGAGCATCCACCGTAAGTAACATGCCTCTGACATACAGACTTCCCTCCCTCCGCCTGCCTCAAGTGTTAAGCCACAAACAACAAAACCTCTGTTAGAGCAGGACTTTCAAAATAAAACCCCCGCCGCCGGTGAGCGCGTGCACCAAGTAGGGGATGAATGTAATGAAACTGATTTTAAAAAAGCCTAGAAAGTTTGAGACTTTGTGTTTGAAAGCTTGATATCTAATGTAAAAGGTTTTGCAAGATTGAAACTTTTAAATAATATTATTGATAGCTTGAAAAAGGGCTGCAAACGTTATTTTGAGTTTTTCTTCTTAAAAACTACAGCACTTTGTTTTTACATGTTTTTTCAATACATTTTTCAGAGCTTAAAGGTGTCACTGTTGGTGTAAACTGGTATGTTGGGGAACACTTTCGAAACGTCCAGAGACTTGAGTTTTGAAAGGAGAATCTTTATTTTGAAACTTTTGCGGATGTAGCTAAATAGCCCTAATTGTCTGGAGTCACCTGTCTGGACAGGTCCATTTTAGATAGAGGCCTACAATTCACCCGTGAACCTTTCTCAAACGTTTCAGTACATAAAGCCATATTCCAAGCTTTGGTTGCTGATTAATTTGTTGTTTTTTTACTCTTTGGGTAGACTATTTAGCTGAGTTAATCACTGAGAACTAATGTATAAAGATATTAGCATGTTGGAAAAGAGGATGTGCAAACTACAGGGGATCCATGGGGAGCTTGTATCCTCTAAATAAATAAATAAATAAATTTGCTATGCATTTCTATGTCTCTCTCTTTTGTGCATGTTAATGGGAACCACTGGCCCCCAAGTTCTGACCCAACACTTTGATAGGGTTTCCCATGAAAGCCATGGTATAGTTCGCACAGTGCAACGAAGGACTCAGTTTTTGTGAAAGAGTCGGCTCTAGCCATACTAAAGGAGAAGAAATGGCCAACAAAAATACTAAATACTCTTAACACCATACAGGCATTTAAAACAAACAAGGGCCAAGTGATGCAGGTGTGATGTGTTTTTTTGCACACCAGTTATTTTGCTGACTTTTGCAATGTATTTGATCCAATCACAGTGTTCTAGCCTAGATGTTCACAGCTAAATTTCGTATATATTTTGTTTTCATATCACATTCTGCACATCATCTTACCTTCAAAAAAATCATGAAGGGGGGAACTAATTTAACTTATATAAATTTTTGTAGTTATGGACAGCTTTGTTACAAATGGTGTTTTAGGGGAAAAAAACCTTGCAGGTTTTAAAACAAGTCTATGGAAGCTCATTGCATTCACCAATGAAAAATAAATTGGAAGCCTTATGTAGTAAAAGATGTCGTAATTACGAGATAAGATGTCATAATTACGAGAAAAGATGTCATAATTACGAGATCCGGATTACGAGAAAAGATCTCTAATTAGAGATAACTGGAAAGGTGCCATTTCTTCAGAGTTCAGTAAAGTTGGAAATATATTCACAGATTCGAGCTTCCGGGATCAATAACTCGTAAGCAAAACGTGTTTAAAACACAAACAATGCCTCTTTATTATTAGTTAAGTAGACAACAAGCTACAAGTACATTTTCACATAAATGAGTCTTCCTAGGAGCGGCACAAATGACATTGGTCTCTACGTGCAGCAGGCTGTGAGACGAGTGCGCAGGGACCGTCTACAAAGTGCAACACAGAAAACACATTCTGCAGAAATATTCTTCTAACTTCACACTTGTACAATGTAGTGCCCCCAAAATCACTATTACACATTAATGATATACTGCTGGTTATACTACAATCCTTAGTTTGGGGGAAAAAAGACTTTCATACCTAATATTAGGTAGGCCTATTTTTAATATTCAATAACTACACTGTTAAAGGCTGTAGTGTCTCAAAAATCACCCCAGGTATCATTGATCACATGTTGATGATACCACAACACTTAGTTTGTAGAAATATAGTTTTGCATAATTTGGGGAATTTTAATATTCAATAATAGACTCATTTATTTGAAAATGTACTTGTAGCTTGTTGTCTACTTAACTACGATAATAAAGAGGAGTCGTTTGTGTTTTAAACACATTTTGCTTACGAGTTATTGATTCCAGAAGCTCGAATCTGTAAATATAGGCTATTTCCAACTTTTCCATTATCTAGTAATTACGAGATCCTGATCTCGTAATTATGAGAAAAGGCTTCCAATTTATTTTCTTTGGTGAATGCAATGCGCTTCCCGTACAAGTCGCTGTTCTCCTTAAGTTTATATTTCTGGGCCTGTTTTGTAGGTAATGCAAGAAGGTTTGCAGTCAAAACTATTACTTGAGCCAAACAATGTATTACAGGACACCAGAATAAAGCATGGTTTTGAACAAATTTAAAACATATCAAGAGCACTGGCCCCACTGATGTAGTCTGTAATGCAGTAAGTCAATTAAGCTGCTATTGGGAGTGTTTGCATCATCTATGGCCAGTTTAACTATCAAGCTATGACCACCCGTGTCCAGTTATGACCAGTGTAACCAGTAATCTTGCCCAGCTAAAGTGTCCAAATCCTCTCTAAACCAACAAACCAGCCCATCCTGGGACTGACAAAGAGACCACTCGGTCTAAGCTGTAGGGGTCTGTTTCAGAGTTTCAGACCAGAGCTGCAAGACGAGGCAGCCTCAAAAGCTAAAGCTCGCAACTGTGTGGGCATATCTGAAAAGAGGGGGTTGTAAACTCAGCTCTGAAAGAACAGTCAATACCAGTGCAAACTGCAAAAGTTTCAAAATAACCCCCCTCCCCCAACATATACAGTTGATCCCAGTTTTTACATCAACCTGGAAAACACAAGGAAAACAGTGACACATTTGAAACTCTGAAAATGTGTTGGAGAAACATAATATTGCACTGCAGTTGTGAAAGAAGGAAAAGTCAGTTATTATTATAATCTCTGCATACTCAAATCTTTTCACCCAATAGATCATTTACGTGGTACTTGACGTCAGCATTTGTGTGCCCAACCAGAGGTGTTACACATCACACCTCTCATATTGAACAGCCATCTGTTCTGAACCCTTAACTTCCTCCACTTCATTCATCTCTTAGCTCCTGACGGGTTGTAGTAATTGAATTCTTGTTCCAGTTCTCTACCACATGACACACATTGTTTAAGCCAGGTCTGCTTTCTACAGACAATCTGATTTACCAAGTACATCCTCAGTGAACTACATAGTTCCTGTCTTTTTTACGGGAGGCTATTGTAGTCTAATGATGACAATCCAATCCAGTACACACTGATGCCATCTATGTTGACCTTTTCTGTGTTTTAAACAGCCAAACTGACTCTCAATGGAGAATTTCTTTCTGTATTTTGTCTCCTTCTTAAATGAACCAAGCACAATGACTTCCTCTGTATTTTTGCTTTCCAGTGTGCATCTGGTAGACCTCAAGGCCAATATCATTAAAATGCAGCGTTGCTTTTGGAGTAATGTGAAGACATGCCCTGTAATTACTGTTACAATACGCCTCGGATCATACTGTAATTTTTTATGAACCCAAAATGTTGTCTTTCTTCTGTGAAAAGGTACACCAGGAATGTGTCACAAAACTTTCTTTCTGTATTTTTTTTATTCACGACTGATTGCTTCCCATCCACAGTGTTTTTCAGTATACTATTGTGGTTGCTCTTGCAGCTTTTGCACTCCTCACCACATGCGCTACTTTGTACTTACCCACACAGTTTCTCAGCATTACTCAACGTAAGTACAGCTTTTGTACTTATTAGTATGTGTGTTTTTCTGTGATTAACACGAGTTTCCCACTCCAACTACTAAACAGATTTCATCTTGTCCCGTATAAGCTCATGTGTTGTCACCTCACCGCATCAGTTTGGCCAGATTTAGCCCTGCTAAGACTATCAGAATTTTTATATTTTTACAAATGTATATTTATACTGCACCCTTTCTGTAAAACAATTTCTTAAGAGCTAGATTTGATTTGTTCACAAAAATGTTTTGTAGAGTGCATTTACCTTTCAGCATATTTTTGAAGACCTGATTTCAAGATAGTGCAGCATGGAGTACTTCACAAAACAGATTTATCCAACAGACACTTGATGAGAAAGAAAAGGACAGTGCCTTGCAATTATGGCAATCATCCACAAAAATACACAGTTACGCCAAAAGTGATATATATTAAAGATAGTATATACAAAACAATAAAGACATATTTTGGAAGTACATACAGAACAAGTGTCCATGGCTTTCAGTTTTAAATCTGAATGAAATATTGTCTTATTCTGTGCACAATATAAAAACACACACAAACAACATAAGAACAGCATACTGCATTGGCTGATATAAATAAGTGTTTTCTATAAAGGGGAGTAACAGGGATTATGTGGATGGAGTATTGCTTTCATTTTGGACTCATTTAATGTTTCAAACCCTGAGAATATCAGATGTGAATTGAGTGACACCCAGTGGGAGACATCCAGAAGCACTTCACTGCTTTACTGCCCAAATAATGAAGCCACAAGGCTGACAGACAACACTAGTCTCGCCTTTTTTTTTATTCTTCTGTGTACAGTACTGCATCCCACTGGATAAGAAAGTGACAGACTGTACTGCAATTGGACCCACATTATCGGTCTGTGATGCTTAAATGATTTATATTTCAAAAGGACGGCATGTTATGTTTTAAGGACGACAGAAGATTAGATGAGATGATTCTGACAGATCCACAATGTTCAGACCAATTTTGCTCAACTCTTCTAAAAAATCTGACCACCAAAAACAAAACAGAGATAGCTTAATGAAAAATAACAGAACACATCAATAAAATCCACATTTCATTTGCATAACAGTGTCCTTCCTGTGTTTGCCCTGGTGTTGTGTCGCCATGTGACTGTAGGGTTTATGTCACCCAGCTGTCCATTCGCATTCGTTTGACCGTGGGACTCTCCCCGCCCTCTGACCGTCTCACAGGAAGCGAGTGGAAGTCCAACCGCTGCTGCTGTGGCTCCTCCCGGTCGCTGCCACCCTCGTGGGAGCTGCAGGAGGAGCCAACGCTGTCTGCAGGAGACCTCCCCATCTCTGCTCTGGTGGATGAGGAGGTGGAGGAGTGAGGATGAGGAGGGACATGAGCGTGACTCATGTACCCTGATTGGCTGAGGTGGTTGCGGGGTGGGGAGATAGGCTCAGCTTTGATGTTGATGTTGTGGTTGGTGTTGATGGAGAGATTGGAGCTCCCGGACCTACAGGGTGAGAGGCAAGGAAGAAGAGCACGATTTAAGGCTGTGGAGTGAAGGCGCCATCTAGTGGTGAAACTAAGACCTTTAGACTAAAAAAGAACTTGGGTACAAATTGAGATAATTTACTTGGGTATTTTCATTTTATGCTACACTCATTTTAAATTTATTTTTTTATTTTTTTAGGGGAGCTTCACTGAGAGGAAGCCTCTCTTTTGCAGGAAGGCCCTGATCACATTCACACCTGGAAGCTGCCCAGTACAACCTGCAGCCTGCTCTGCTGGCCACTAAGCAGCTCCACCTTTGTTGGCACCACTGCCCCATACAGTTAAAATGCAAATATTGTACTTTATACTCTATTTATTTGCCAAGTTGAGTATGTAAAAAATAATAATTTTTATAGATTAAACAACCAAACAGTGCATACATTACTGCAACGGCCTCACTTAGTCTGGTATGACGAGTAGCTTATGGTGACTAATATTAGCTATTGCGGGTTATACAACACTTCTCTATTTGTGCCAAGGTTTCAACATGTATTAGGATTAGGTGTCGTATTACTTGTGGCCACACTGCTCAGCATAGTCTTGCTTTGATTTGCAATGGAGTATCTTTACAGGGCGACATTGGTTGCTTAATTGAAATAAAGGATATGAATACTTCCTTGCCCTGCAATATGTCAGGCTTATTACTTTATTCATCAGCCTCACTCTTCGTTATAGAGTCCATCTAAAAAACATTCTTGACAGATACCGAAAAACTCCCTAGGGGGCTTTTGCCCTCTCCTGTACATGTCAGTTGAACTTAGTGTAAATAAATATGTCAACTGCCAAAACTGTGTTAAGAAACTGTGAAACGGGAAAACCTGTTTTCAGTCATTAAAGTGGTAAGATTGTATTTTAAATAAATGTCTCTTTATGAATAAATATAAATGTCATTTATCTTCAAATGAGGTGACACAATGGTGATTGTTTCCTGTGGCACATTAATGAAGTAATGCAATATTTAAATATTTTCAGTTTTACAAACTGTAGGTGGCAAAACATTTGCATTTCCTACTGCTGCAGCTTCACATTAAAAGCATTAACTGGTCAAACAAGAGTTGACTTTTATTGTAAGGTAGTCACAGGAAATCCAATGTGTTTGTCTGTGAGATTAGCATCGACAGCTATCGTTCAGGGATGCACGATAATTATCGATCCGATATAATATCTGCAGATATTGGGCATATATATATCGGAATCATATCGAGAATGGAAATTTGTCAGAGGATTTAGCCGAAGAGACTCAATGAATGCTGTAACATGCACCGCTGCTGTTGTCGCACTCTGGATCGAGCAACGCAGACACGGGTGCAGGCAGCTAGAGCCAAACAGCTGGTTTGTACATCTGGCTAATTACCAAGCTAACATTAGCTGTGCTTATATAAAACACAGAGGATGACAGACTGTGGACAGAGCAGATTAATATGACGGTTTCTACATGTTTATGCTCGTTTAACAGATGTATTGATAAAGTAGCCTACTGTCTGTGTGTAGTAGCCGACACACTACCTAATACTGCGTTTCGGTGCTCATCACTAAATAACATTAGTTTGTTACTCATCGCGTTTCAATCAGGAGGAAGATTGTAGGACATTTTAAGCACTCCCAACTTGCCAACTCTCGTCTAAAAGAATACATTTTACACGCTGAAGAGTTTGCTGGAGCAGTTTGAACAGCAGACAATAGATATTAGTTCAGCTACAGCCACAGCAGCAGACGTGATCCCCTCCATCAGTTATGCTTTAAAGCACATCCTTTTAGGTTTGGACAACACCTGCTTTTATTTTGCGCCATAGACAGCTCACTGTTACAGTGCTGTTTGCACCTCAGAAAATATATGGAGCATGTTTGTTACGGTTTACCATAAAAATAAAATGTGGCACTGGCATATAATCCTCTCCCAGGTGAAATAATTTATATTTTTCAGGGATGAATGTCTGTCTACATTTGTAAAATTAAAATTTTTTTGTAAAATAAAATGTTATTTTTCTTATTGGTTTTTTTTTCTTATTTTTTTTTATTGTTTATACAACAAATGAATAATTAGGAAAAAAGTTGTACAGGAGAGACTTCAGCATCAGCCAAAAAGAGCTTTAACATATGGGCATGTTGAATATCGGCCAAAATCTAATATCGTGCATCCTTAATATGGTTCATCAAAAATGCATCTACAAAACAACGGCCATTTAGACATTTTTTGACAGCAGATCAGTGTGTAATATTGTAGGGAGTAATGTAACAGTCAAAAGCAGCCACAATGAGCTGACCAAGAGCTGCAGGCAGAAGGCTGCACACCTCTGTTGTGATCGAGCCAGTGTGGATTTGTTCATTTTATATCAAATAAATTTGGAGATCCCAAAGTCTTTCTCTCTCCCTGAGAGAAAGAAAAGGAGGGGGTTTGAGATATCAACCCTCAACAGACAGCTGAAGCGACCAAAGGAGGAGGTGAAAGGTTTGCTTTCCCTAAGTGCTGTTTCTGGGCAGTTCAATCGTAAAACTGGCCACCTTTGGCAGCAGCCGAGACAAGGCTCGGTGCCAGACTGTTAAAGTGACAAAGAAACACTAACCAGAAATTAGCTTTCTCCTGAACAGCCTATCAGAACTCTTTTTTAAGAGAGGGCCGGAAACCCTTAACTGCCCCCCACACACGTAACCATGGCAACTGACCTCCCTCTTTGTTTATTTATCTCACATCAAAGGATATCCTCCTAGTGAATAATTGTATAATTATTAAAACGCCACCCAGAGGTCCGGAGACTCTGGGTGAATTGAATCTCCGGTGGTGCCCTATTTCGAGGAATTATGAATTAATATCTCCAAATATTACTTTTCATAAGTTTATTAAAAATCATAAGTAGACACCTCCAACTTCTCAGCAAGGTAACCAGTTCCTTTCACTGTTCGCAGACTCATTTTCTCAGATTTGTGCAGCGTAAAATCGGATCATGATTACTCACAGAATGACAGTTCTTTATGAAAACAACAATGGGACCTGTAACATTAAAACACATTTGCTGTTACCACCAGTAACTAGGTGTCATCCTATCAACCAGGTCTGAAATCTGAAGGACTGCCACTTTAAGAGAGAAAAATTAACCGCTTCAGGTACTTACCCCAGTGAGCCCAGCTGGTGTAGCTGCCATGCCGCCATGGAGCCCAGAGAGGAGCCTGCAGGGGGGCTGAAGCCTGACAGCTCTGCACTGTTCAGGGAGTACTCTGACAAAGACAGAGATGACATGTTACAGGATAGCACACAAAAAGCAATATACTTAAACAATTCAGCATAACCACCTGAAACCAGCATATACATAATAATGTAAAGTAAGAAAGAAAAACAGCAACATTTCATTGTCTTTTTTTTTGCCATATTGTGACATCATTGGGTCCTCCGGGGTTACGCTTATGACAGCAATAGAGTACAAATAGACATCAGGTACCATTGTTGTAGGCAGAGCTGATGCCGGAGTAGACCAGACTATGGTGAGGCTGACTGGGTGTGGTGATGGAGACCACTGGGGTGGAGAGAGGCTGGCTGGACTGACTGCTGCTCAGCCTCTGGTTACTCTGAAAATAAATAACAGATACACAGTCACTAAGTTTATTCATTACATTTCTAAATGTCTAAAATCTGGCTTCTCTCTCTGTTGCTTCTGTGTGCTTAGACTGCTGTTCTACTGTGCAGAGTAGTTGAACACGGCTCGCGAAGATCCTCTTCGACCACATGGTGGTAGTAGAAATTTATTTTCTACAGGGCAGAGCGTGCTTGACCTTCAGCGGCCTGCTGAACAGAGCACAGAGCTGTTGATGGATGCTGAATGTTTTGCATTGAGAAAAGTCAAACAGAAATTCACCAATCTGCCAATGTCTTTAGTTAATCTCTCAATCTTAATCTGTAAATCCACTTTTAAGACAAAGACCTGATAATCATTATTCGGTTTTTTGAAAACACAGAGGCCCTAGTTTGTGCAAAATGAAAACACTTCTTATTCTCTAAATTCAATTTTTAGAGATTTTGCAAGATTAAGTGTTTTGCATTTCAACTGGTAGCAGTCTTGTTAAGGAATTGTAAAACAGGCCTACTGCTACAACCACAGTTCTAATTTAATGAATTGAGTGTTTTAACAATGAATCAAAAAAAACACTGAACAGCAGCGGGCAATTCCTTTTTTTAATCTGTCACTGTCTCAAATTAAGATAAAAACCAAGTTAGTTTGGCACACTTTATAGTGTCTCTTTAACTTGACACATTTCTAACAGTAATTATAAGTTTTGTGTTGTTCCTCTCTGGGTGTTGGCATTCCAGCCTGATAATGTCAGTAATGACATCACCCTGAATGAGGTAATTCAATGCTGAACACACGCACACACACGCGCGCACACACACACACACACACACAGTACGCTACCCAACCAATACATGGCCTGAACGAATATTAAAAGCTAACCAAACGTGACTGCCTGGAGCACTGCATTGTGTTTCCTTCCCCTTTCCTTGTGTTACATATGGTTCCCCTGTTCCTCTGTGTGACAAATGCCATACTGGAGAGGTTCGAGCTAACATGGTAATGATGATGGTTAACACACGGGTCTGTGAAGAAAGGCAGACCTGCTCACACTTATGGATATTGCTTTAAAGAAACTAAATGAAAAAATAAAAAGTATTGTTCTTTCCTGTTTGTGCAAAACAAACACAGTACACAAAGCACACTGTACAAACTTAACATGCACACGTGTGCATAGAGGAGGAAGTGAAAGGCAGTTTCAATATGATCAAACGAGAAGCTGCTGTCTGACCACTCATCTTTTACTGCAGTGAATGAAATGAGCAGCAACCATCCCTATGTGTTGGTTGAAACATTGTGGAAATATTAGCATGCTATTGTTTATGGTTTTAACGGCATGCCAGCGTCAACCCGTAAAAGTTGGTATTTAGCACTCTCAGACCACTGACCAATGTTCACTGTCAACTGCTCCTGCAAACATGATGACAGTAAGTTATTTGTCAATAATCATCTTAGAAAGAACAGAATGATTATTAAATAAAGAAATTATGATGATCAACAAATATAATAACATTTTGCCACATGCAGGATGTTTATTCATTTATAATTTCTTCACCTGAAATGTAGTCAGTACAGTATTTTATTAATATTGATGGCTATCCCTAAATGAGTCTTAATTAAAGGTTTTAAAAGGTAACTCATAAAGGAATTTTAATTTGTAATCCATGTATAACTTGTCTGTTAAATCAAATGTTTTATACTAATAATTACAGCAAATGTCCCAAAAAGCTGCAAAATGAAAATAAATCAGCAGCATCTCAAAACAAAAAGTAAAGAAAAAGTGTTTGCTAATTATTGCATCATGTTTGAGCATAATGCATGAGGGAAGGGCAACAGTTAGGGAGTTAGGGGCAAATCAATAACCTCAATAACCCAGCACAGCTGCTGAATGTGCAATCTGAAGGAAGAAAGAGAGACTCTAGAAGCTATGAAGGTTCTTGGTCAATTCATTAAATTCTGAAGGTTTGGAGTCAGTTTACCAAACCATGAACTCAGATTTCAATCATCTAATCACAGAAACACTGTGTACTGCGCACTTTTTGAGGGCTTTTTTGAGAAATGAGTAGAATGTAATAGCAAATTATTGCTGCATTTGAGTTCTAGTGGTACCGTTTCTAAATCCAACTCCAGGTTCCACCGAGAATGTGCACTCCCTTTCCAACAAAATGGCTTGAGTTGGCAGCCTACTTGAAATATCATCAGTCTTTTTCCTTCCAAAATTAATTTGACAACGTATGCCAAGATTTATGTATCTTTCACTGAAATGCACCATTTTACTTTATATGGTTCTTTTGGATGGAAACAAATTCAATCTGGCAAACAGATCATTGGGGTGTCCTTTTGTGTAAAGGACAAAAAAGCACACACTTAACTGATTCTTGTGGTCTTCTGCAAATACTAGAGCAGACTAAAGAGATGTTATATAAAGTCCTCCATAATATCACATAATACACAAGAGGACCTTGTGATTACCAGTGGCAACTTCAACCTTCACTGTTTTGGCTTTATTATCTACCAAAACTATTTTTTAAAGGCCACAGTTCTACCGTGCTAATGTTTACAAGAGTTATTTGTCCGTTGTCTTGAACAACAGGCTGTTATTTAGTGCTGTGAGTATATCAAAATCACATCATTTCCATGATTAAAAATGCTGTTTCATGTAAAGCTATAGCGTTTACGGAATAACAGCACACACATGCAGGAATTTAAGAGGCAAGAAAAAGAAAAAGCACACATTTTTTGGTAGGGACAGAGTTGTGCATAGAAACAGAAGAAACAAAAAAGAATAATTACAGTAATGGTTTCAAGAGGAGTTTCTGGCCACTTGTGCTACAGTGTTTTGATGAACAGGTCCCTGAGTGGTTTGGGTCTTGTCTTATATCCCACAGGCACTGACAGGCAATCATTTGCCAGTACTGCTGTGCAGAATTTGTCAGTCCAGAATAGAGAGATCCTCTCCTCTTTAAAAGAACCATGATTTCATTTGCAAACTCACTGACCATCTGGTCCAGATGGTTTGAAACCAATTGTTCTGGAAAGTTGCTGACCAACTCTGTGGTAATCTGCATCATCTATTTACCCTGTCCTTGTCTGTGTCCAACATCCTTAAAAAACATCATGTAACATTGTTGTTCATAATAAAACTCAGACACAGCCTTAACCCCTTGACGCCTGAATTTATTTACAATAAAAAAAAATTATTTGTGTTTTCATTTGCTTTCAAGCTGATGTTTAATTAAGTGCAGATTGTTCATTTGTCTTTAGAACATAGTAAGTAAGATATAAATTCAGATATGTATATGTAGGTATGATGCAAATTAGCAACAACAGGCATAAAAGAGAAACCAGCGCTTGCAAAAGGTTCCTAGATACATACTGAATATGCACAAACAGGCACTGGGGGAATACATGAGCTATCTCGGCTGCAGTCTGAAAGCAAGAGGTGTGATGCGAATTTGCGACAATTAGCGTCATTTTATGCGCAAATGTCACAGAGAAAAAAATGTCAGATGACGTAGAAAGAGCGATAAAGTCGGCATAGGGATGAGGTGGGAGTGGATGGATGGGGAAAAACAAACTTTCAAGACTTTCACCCAGGAGACCGCTGTCCTGTGTGAAGTCAAAAGTCAACACTGACTTATTTTAACTTGTGTACATAAACAATTGACATAACATATTAAGCTTACTTAACGTAACTTAAGTTGCATACGTATATAACTTAACTGACATTAACTAATATACTTACCGGCCTGTTAAAAGGAGTCAGCAGTCAATGACGGTATAAAACAGAATAGCAACACACACACACACATAACACACAGGGCTAAAAGCCTGGCGGGCATAACAATGCAGGTTTAAGCATTAATTAATTAACAACTAGCCTCATAAAGAACATTTCTCCAAAGAGAGTGCCAATAAATGGAGGATATTCCTCAACGTTATTAATCTTTCTGACGACTCTTGTTGAGGTCATAAACATAAGAACCACACACACTTACAAGTGTTTGCATAAGTCCTTTGGACTGAGGGATGACCACTCGGAGGTCTGTCTTGCGGCTGGTAGGGACCAGGCTGTTCCCAGGAGGTGGAAGAGGAGGAGATTTGGATGGTATGACCTTCCCCAAACTGCTTCCACCAGATGAGCCCACAAAACCATTCACTAAACACAGAAATGTAGAAATACAAGGACATTTGAGAGGCTGCATGGACCAGGAGCCCTGAATGTCCATGTGTTAGATATCAACATGTCCACCGACAGGCTCTGAATGGAGCTTGGAGAAAGTAAGGCTATATATTATAGAAGAGATACTAATGAATAATTGATCTTTTCTTGACATTACATAAGGGGCAGTGTTTATATGAGACATGATGTTCTGAGTGGGAGAGCACAAAGATGACAGGGAGTATAATCGGCAGGACGACAGTTTGTAGTGAGGGGTGAAGACACAACAGTAAAGATAAATACAGCATAAAGCAGTAGAAAAAGACACATCCAGGTGCATCCAGGCTCGTGGATAACAAGAAAAAGGTTGGGAAACACTTCTTTATATGTTTTAGATGTTTAAACAGCAAGCTTCAGATAAATATTTGTTGTTTCAGTCTCAAAATGAACTTTACTTTAACTTAACTCACTGACTGGTTGGACTGCAAAAATAGAAGGTCCAGGGCTTTAGTTTGTGAAAACATGAACGTTGTCACATGTAGAACATCACAATTCACCTGCTCAGGTAAAATTGGCTAATCTGTTAGTAATACAAATTCAGAAATGCTCTGAACATTTTCGACAACTCATTTCAGATTTTTTTCCCTCTAAAAGATGACACATTATTTACCAAGTAATGCATCAACCCACAATCACAGTCATCTGAGCTGCGGATTGCAAATGATGACCAAAGTGTGACTCCTTTCTTGAAGCTGGAGGTGATAATATACAGTAGGTGCGGTTGAGTGTGCGTTCCTCTTTATTTACTGCTGCTTTATTTACTGTTTGTGATGGATAAAAGAATGTGTAATCAACACGTACTCTTTAAAAACATACAAACAGGGGCGCCACCAGGAATTATGGGCCCCATGACAAAAACTCAAATTGGACCCACTCCGTGCAGCTGTTGTCACCACATTGCTAGGACCTAAATGTCCCATCAAAAGCTTTACATAACTCAAATTAAAGGCTTGCGACTTTCTTGCTTCTTGTAGTTCAATACTAGCACAATATTTAGTGCTGGGGATTTGTGCATGCAAGTCTGCATACAGTATGCAGTTCACCATTTGATGCGAGGTTCAACCATAAAAAATGTTCTTTTGGAAGTCTTTTACAGTCTCAATGTATTTTAAAGTAAAATTAAGAAAAAACATCTCTTAACATTAACACCCATCTATAGATGTCATTTAACAGCCATAATTCAATCTAAATGAACGTATCAAACTGGATTATTTTAATATTGTCTGTAACTTACATGCAGGCTGAGGTAATCTACTCACTGTTTCCAACTGTCCCTTTCTTGGTGAAAAACTGTGTTACAGATTGACATCCTTTCCTTTGTCTTTCCTCTCTCTCTTTTCTCTCTTTCCTTTTGTGAAAACCAGATTATGGTTTACTAGGTAACATTGTGATCACTGTGTTTCTGGCACATCTACTGACTGCAACTAAACACAGTCACTGATAAGTGCGCTAAGACAGGACCAAATCATCTCATGCAGAGATGGGGGGGGGGGGGGGGTTGCTCAATATGGATGTTTACTTTTTGGTCAATGAGGATATTTAACTTTTTAATATTTAACATTTTCACTAACACGTCAGTTGAACCACTCCAAATGATTTCTTTTTTTTTTTTTTTTTACATATTTATGTAGAAACTTGAAAAATTAACAAACCCTATTTTTGCTTCTTCAAAACATCCTCTCTCAACAAAAATTATGTTGAATTACATATTAAGTTCTTATGATGATGGTATCGCTCTAGGCTAAAGTTTTGTAGACAAGGAGATTTGTCAGAGTGCATCTGTCCCACTCCTGAAAGATACATACCAACTGGAGCAGACCCATTTTGCAGAGCCAGATCAGAACTGCCCTGCAGGCCACCTGAGGATAAACACGTACATAGACACACACACAGAATGACTTTTATTAGATTTCTTTTTCCACCAGTTGGTGTTCTGTAACCACTGACATGTATCCCACATGGTGGTCAAAATTTGTTTACTGGTCTTTGTTTTTTCTTAAACTTCATTATCAGTTGTGTCTGTTATATCTGAGCACACAAACTACATATAGCCAAATATGTCAAATATTCAGTCACTACAGGGAAAAATATTCACAACGGCATACTAAATGTATATATAAGCACCATTAAGACAGATTTTAATTCACTAAAATTGCACATGCTGATCAGTAATACTATTTCTTTCTGCTGTGGATGTGTGTTTCATCTTCCCCTTCTCTGAGCAAAAAAAGTAATACCGTCCCATTTGCCTACTGTGTTTTTTAGGCTTGGTTGTTAAAGTCTCAACCAGACAAAAAGTGAACCTCTAAATTTACATGTACATTAGTGTTGTGTTACCTATGACTGTCATCAGCTCAGCAAGAGTTTGGTTCCCAAACAGCAAGGCAAATATCTTATTACCTGCCTTCCTTATAAAGCAGACACACCTGTGTTTCCTGCGCTGGGAGGTCTTTGTGAAGGGTTTACGTTTCGGTGGAGGTGTGTATGAGGCGAGGAGAGGATCCCACTGTCAGCTAGAGCTGCTGTGGCTGCAGCTAGAGCTTGGGAGGTCGCTCCTCCTCCTCCTGCACCGGGGTTGTACTGCATGCTGCCTGGTGCTACATGCATGAAGTTCTGCTGTGGATGGCCTGTGGTCTGGAGAGGAAGAGACAGATAGTGACATGTCTACATGAGTTTTATCAATACTAGAGTACAACACTTGGATTCAGTCACAATCTGTTTAGTTTTTATGTATTTTAGTTTTGCCTTCTTGTGTTCTTGACTGACATAAACGTGCCATTTCCCCCCACATCTTGTGCCGTAGAAACAAACGTAACAAAGGTAGAATCCCAATAAAAAAACAATAGGATTTTAGAGCCAGTGGGGAAGACGCCAAAAAATACAAAGTTAAGCAGACATACTGATACTGAAGCTTGAGCTCCTGCTGAGAAAATGTGTGTGGGAAAAGCCAATGGGTTACACTCTCTTAACAGACTTCAAACATTATTAAGCAAGGCCTTGATCTGCATCAGTAGAGGTGCTCACTGGCATAATAACATACAGCACATGGTGAGGAATTATAGAGGTGATGAAAACAAACAATAAAATGCAATGCAACTTACAATTTTATGACTCTTCATCATGTTGTCAAACTCTTCATTAATCTTTTTGTATTTCTCCTCAGTATTGGGGGTGAGGATGTATGAGGCATCACCATCAGGGCTGTCGCAGCCTCTGTGCTCCTTCTTGTTCAGGGCCTGTGAGTGAAATAAACACAGAGGGGAGGCATTACGTTTAGAAAGATTGATTCAAAAGCATTGGCAATAAGTAGAAAATGCAGCAACTTCAACAGCTCTCTGGTACAGCTTATTGGTCTGTAGTTGACGTTCATAATAGAGACACATTTTCCCCAAAGAGAGCCGTAAGCTGATTACTGGGAGCAGAAGCACTTCATATCACAATAAAGCAGTTTGTTAAAAATTATTTACATATCTGTTTGATTTTTTTAGGAATCCGTCCAGATGGAAAAGTCCTTCATTATGACCACAATGTCTAAAATACTGTACAATTTTGTACAAAGCACATACAGCTTTCAAACAGTGTATTTCTCACAAAGAGGTTTGTTAAAGAAATCATACAGAGATACAGAACATGAAATTAAACAAACTACATCAAATAAGCATTTAAAAAGAGCGAAGCTGAGACTGATCAGTTAAAAGATATGAATAATTCATTATTACTCTATAATAACATTTGTCCATGTCCACAAGCTGAGGTGCTGCAGAACACACGATGTGTATGGTTCTGGTTGCTCAATATGTGGTTAAAGAGCAGGAAGGACTATCAACCACTGTTATGACTAGAAACCAGATCTGATTCTGAAGAGGTTGACAGTACACAGATACTTTCCTTACACTTAGGCTGTATTTACATGTAAATGATAGCCTGGTGAGTTCTTTACTCTGATTCTCAATACAGTAAGGACAGAACACAAAGACATTATTTATTTTTTGTTGGAGTCCCCCAGGCAAGATGTTTTACCAGCTGTTTCTTTCTATCTCTCTGTTAACACCCTTTACATTGTGGGTTTAATTCACATGTTGGGATAAGTGCCTCGCTGGAGAATTCATTAACAGAAGACCAAAAGCTTGCATCAAAGAGTTGGTAATGTAGAAAGAGTAATTGTTTCATTTCTAGCCACGTTAGCGGCATGTCTCTAGAAATGGCAATGTCTGTCTACCAGTCAGTTGGTTCACTACTTTAGTCCAGACTGAAATATCTCTATAACTATTGGATGGATTACTGTGAAGTTGGTTATAGGCATCCATTGTCCACAGAGGACATACCTTAATGACTTTGGTAATTCCCTGACTTTTAATGTAGTGCCGTCAGGAGGTCAAACCTTTCGCCTATTAAGTGAAATATTGGCATGAAATTTGGTTCAGGCATTCATATCTCCCTCAGGATAAACTGTAGTAACTTTGGTTCAGCTGCGTTGTCTGTCTCACACACATCTGATGGAACAGATATGCTATTTTAAGAAATCCAGCTTTCTATACAGGCTTGTGTTTTAGTTTTGCTATTCATACATAAACACACACTAGAATAATTATTTGTTGGGTTGGTAGGTTTATAGTGCTGTAGGGTGGATAGAGAGGCAAAAAGTTGGCTATTAATGCATGCCTGAGCACCACAGAGATACAGCTGTCAGATGATATTCATTAGCAGAAACTTCTTCTGTCTGTGGAGGATAATATTAGTGTCAGCAGTGCAGATTTGGCAAATATCAACAGCACTGCAGGAAAGCAGTCCTGGTAAAGAAGTCAAGTCCATTTTATTTATATAGCCCTACATATCACAATATGACTCAAGGGGCTTCACAATCTGTATAGCATATTCAAATTGAATGAGGAAAAATTCCCCAGAAGAAAACATTTTTACAGAGAAAAAGAAAATGCTGATTTGAGGAAAGAAGAACATGATCTTAACATCACCTCAGGTTACAAATACATTTAGGTTGGGCTTAGTGTAAAGGCTGGGCTTAGGCATGAAGTTGTGATGGCAGGGTAAGGGCTAGGAAAATCATTATAGCAGCAAGGGTCCCTTATAGAGAGGTGTATGTATCATCAATCATAAACAACTATAATAATTATAGAATTATGCTGAGTTCCATGTGACATGTGAAGTCAGAATTTCTGTTCCCAGTCAGAAATTTCAACTGGAACGCCCTCCTAAGTTGGATCTCCGACTTAATGAACACACTTAAAACGTTTTATTAATATAGTAAGAAATCTCTCTCTGTTAAGGATGGCAGATTTATGCGGGAACTCAAACCACACTGGTTTTGATAAAAAATAATAAATTATCATATCAATATATGAAGAGTTTCATAATGGAATGAGCAAGCGTACAAAGATGACTGTCCCCTATACTTTCATTTAACAGCTTGTTGCTTTGTTTTACAACAATTCCTTACATCAATGTCCTGCTCATGGTTTAATTAATTAAAAATCCTCTTTTAACATACAAGGATCAGAAAGGTTTCTTTAAATCGCATCATATCTTTAATATATGTACTGCTTGATAATTCAGACCCCTGCCTGAACAACACAAGGCACATTACATGCTCATTAACTGTTTTTTAAGCATGGAAGCATCTGTCACAGGATTCTTTTCCTGATATATACTGTACATTGTGTTTTGTAACATACAATACATTTTAAGAAGATAGTAAGTTGGTAAGTTTAGAGCAGTTTGTTTAAAGTGCATTAGATGAAACGAGTAGGCAAAGTGCTCTTGTGAATGGAATGTTGGCAGTTTAAATACCTAAATCTGGAGATTGAAACAACACAAAAAGTTAGTCATGAAAAGGTTTTTGGCTACTCAGGCACAAAAGAAACAAGCTATAAACACAACACTGAAATATTACTAACTGTTAAGTTTATATGACAAACTTGTTAACAAACAGTTCCAGTTCCAACTCCAGCAGATACAACATAACATCAGCATTCATTTGGGCTTGTGTTTCTGTTAATGACTGCCCAATACTCATTAACCTTTTAGCTCTGTTTTGTTCTCCACCAACTCCTGAGGGAAATGCTCCACTATGTTCACTTTGTCCGTCTGTCTATCATTTGGTGCAGGGCAGGCAGTGTGGAGTTTTTAGAGCTTTTTTTCCTGGAAAGAGAGTGAACCAGCACAGTAAAGTTGACCAAAACGATGAGCTGAAAGTCACTGAAACGCTCCACTGGGTGATAATTATCTGTGGGCTAATCACTACAAGCGACATCTTTCACATTCCACATTGTTATATGAGCCATTGTAAATATAACAAAAATTGATTACCGCAGCTTTAAGTACAAAGAGTGGAATGCACATTCTGGGCTACTGTAGAAACATGTCGGTGAAACATGGCAGACTCCATGGAAGAGAACTGCTCCATCTGTACATATAAAAGGCTCATTCTAAGGTAACAAAACACAACGATTCTTATTTTCAGGTGATTATACACTAATGAAAACATACTTATGAATCTTATATTCCAATTCTGCCAATATCCCCCTAAATCTTACACAGTGGTCCTTAGTACATAAAAAAACTATACTTTTTTTTTTTCAAATGGTGACAGCACAAATCCTTTAAATTTAAAATGTCCAATGTGTCATATTAAAAAAACACATGTAATTTCCATTGTGAATCAAAATGAAGCCAAGCAAGGAATTGGCATTGTTCAGGTGGTTTGGAAAGACTAGGTTTAGATCATTTGTTTAGAACATAGACGGATGAATTGATGGATGTTAATTTACAGCACCTGGACTTTGGTAGAGAAGTCATTGTAAAAAAAATCTAATCATACCAACATCATGCGAGCCTGGATGATGACATCACATCTCTGGTACCCATCATCTCATAATTATATTACACGTCATAGCGTGAAAAGGACCAACTGACAGACCACCACACCAGCCAGCTGACTGTCTGTCCACCACACCAGCCAGCTGACTGTCTGTCCACCACATGTCCTCTGCATTCCCAGACACGTTGTTAGTAGGAGCTTTAGACACACACTCGCAAGTCTATTTTCACCACAGGCCTGAAACTACATTTTAACAACTGGTGACCACTTAAGAAGTCACACACTCAATTCCCGCTCCTCTCAATGGCTGGTTATTTCCACACAACAGTAAACATCAAGCTGGCCAGTTAACCTTTCCAAAGGACACATGCAGTGTTTGGCTTGTTAAATTCAGGACAAGCTTTCCCTAAACACGCCAGTCAGCTTGTTTGTTTGACAATTATGTAATTTTGTCTAATTATGGGATGGTACATTACGGTACATTATGTGAGTCATCGTACAGCAGTGCCAGCAATTTTTTGTTATTAATCAAAATGACTTTTTAAGTGATTTTAAAAAAGTCTGTAAATTACATATAACACAGCCCTAACATACATTATGGCACACACCGTAAACATTTTTAGAATGTGAAAAGGACAATGCAAAACACACACTTGTCACCTGTTTACTACATTCTTGCAGAAGTCCTGCAAAAACTATAGCTATATCATCAACGATTGTTTGGAAAAATCCTACTCTGCATCCTCTAAAGGCATCAAATGCAAATGGCAAGTCAGTACAGACACAATAGTTTGGTGTTCTAATACACTAATTAGGTTGTACTGTTATACTGTGTGCTGTCACTTTCAACATTTATTCCTTGCAGTGGTCCAGTAAGAGCAAAGGCTGTGCTCCTGCTACATTAAAACACTGCAGTATCAGGTATCATTTCATCACAGCAAGCTTACTACAAGGAAGAACTGTGATACATGTGTCTGTGTAAACAAGAAGCGCTGTAGCCCTTCCTTCAAAGGCTAAAATGTATCTCATGTCTGTCATGTGAAAATAAACTCAGGCACAGAGCTCCACTTAGCTGATGGTGCTAATGTCCATTCTGCCCCAATTCTCACATTTACAACAGAAGAAAATGCAGGACTGCAAGTGCATCATAAATATTACAGTAAGGCAACGCAAGGCAAGTTTATTTGTATAGCACATTTCAACAACAAGGTAATTCAAAGTGCTTTACATAAAACATAAAAGCAACAGGGAAATATAAAAAAGTTTAAAAGCAACATAGGGAAATTGAAAAAAATACACATTAAAACAGGGTAAAACAGAACAGTAAAAGTTACAGTGCAGTGTACAATCAGGGTTAAAAGAGTTAAATGGAAAATAAAAATAGGGTGAGGGGTTGAGCAA